CATTCTTTTCAACTTAATTTTCGTTATAAAAGTAGTTTTTGTTCCCAGTAAGTTCAAAGTTGATAGAACATCCTTCAGGAACAAACACATAATGAATAACCCTGTCATAGTTCCACAAAACGAACAGGAATCACTTTAACGATGAGCTGGATTATCGACCTGCTGGAAACATGAAGTTTTTTCGGAGGATCTACGGAAGAGGTCAACACAGAGAAAAACTTCCTTTCGGTTTTCGCCGAGCTTTCCCGTAGCCTTTGTTCCTCTCGTCGAAGAGGGGTTTTTTTTTTTTTGATCTGTGATTTTAATGTAAAGTAATATAAATGGAAGAAAGTTAATTGTATATATGTATGTATAAGAAACACACTGTGATCGCATGTACCTGAAAACAAAAAAAGAAGGTTTTTACTAGTTCCTTTAAATTCACTAATTTCGTGGTCCGCTTGACCAATTAAATCATTACATTTAATTAAGGTTTTTAGTTGAGATGAAAAAAAGCCAATGGCTCGAGCGGGATTCGAACCCACGATCTTCGGCTTGATACGCCGATGCTCTACCACTTGAGCTATCGTGACCTCGATCCACTCGGACATCAACTTCCTATCTCAACCCCACCTTTTTTTCCTCCTTTTTGCCATTTTTCAAATCCCGCTCGTTCCATTGCCTTTTATTCATCTCAACTAAAAACCTTAATTAATTGTAATTCAGTTAATTCATTAAATTCACTAATTTCGTGGTCCGCTTGACCAATTAACACCTTTTATTTTGTTATTTTTCAAAATCCCTTAATTAAATTTTCCTTCAATAAAAGACATAATAATTTCAATTCATAATAAAAATAAAATAAAAATGGTAGGGAACGTAAATACTACGAAATTGGCAATATACCTATTCATTTTTGAGCAGTTTTATGATTCCGTGGTAAGTTTCATTCCGTGCGACTTGAACCCGAGTACCGCTACACTTTGCCTAACCATCTACATATCTGACTGGGGCATCTGTTAACGACCCGAGACGATTCACAGGGCGTCCCCTGCTGAACAGCATACCGCATCAACGGGAACCGTCTTTTTACAAGGAGAAATATGAATATGTAAAAAAATGACGGACTTAAAAAAATCCAGCTAACAATTAATAAATCGATTGCTCTTCCTGGCTAATTTTATCGTTAACTCGTATGTACTGCGTCCTATTGGGTACCTCGTCAGATTATTTGGAAATCGTGAGATGCGATCTGGTGTGACGTATGTTTTAGAAAACCATTTTCTTTATCTTTCCAACGTTTCGAACTTTATTGAGATCATCTTCAGAGCCTGGGATTCAATGTTTCCGCATCTCACGATCTCCACATAATCATTGTCTAACGGTCACTAAACTCCACACTCTTGTCATATAGGTTAGGTTATAGACCCCTATCTTGCTCCAGGTTGCTTATTAGCTTCCATAATTTTGGTAGTAGCTCATCAGTAATGCTTACAGAATTGAGCTTTTCTTTGGCCTTCTCGCTATCGGATCTTTACAGCAATATAAAATAAAGTTTTCTGTTTTTGTCCCCTATTCTTGACAAAACCCAGGCTTTCTTCTTTCAATCCTAATATTAATCCAATTTTTTCTCCGGTTGCAGTAGGTATGTTACTGAAGTGACTTTACAGTATTTTGCTCTCCTTTGTTCTGGAGTGTTTTCCCCTCACTTAATTTGATCGATTCGGCAATTACACCTCATTTTTGACGGTTTTAAATTGTACAAAATGTTTTAGGTCTGATCGTTAATACCGAGGAGCCCTCCTTGGTTAGCTCGTCAGTTATGACTTTGAGATGTAGAAAAAATTCACTCTGTTTACTTTACTTAAATCTTTCAATGTAGTAACGCTGTTCAGTTACATAGAGTGAGGACAGCACTTTGCGTTTGATTCTCCGAGTAGATCCTAGTATCTTCCAACGTTTTGTTCATAATTCTTTAATATCCACAAAGCTGTATTTGCACGGTGTTAGAAAACCTTTGGCTAACAAACCAATCAAACAAGACACTTTAACTCATTTTTTTTTCCAAAAATACCCGTGTTAATCCCGTGAGGTTTGGTGTAGAAGCCACAGACTAATCATACAGACGTCTTCTTCCGCTTCCGAGGAGGTGGGTTAACATTTATGCACCTAATCGTGTGCCGCGCAGAAAGGGATACCAAACAGTGGACTAAAATGCATCAAATGGTCTCCCACCGCGCTCCTACATATAGAAGACAACTCTACCTCCCTGATTGTAGGGGCCTCACTAGCGTCAAAACTACCCGATCAGGTTTCGTGGAAAGTAGAATGTAGAACCACCCCCTAGATAAACATTCTTTCCCAATCTTGCTCGATATCCTGAAAAGGACGTGAAGATCTTTTAAGACCACATCTAGCCCTATGGCCATATCAGTCCCCCGTGCGAGCACGGGATCTTTTCTCAAGAAGGGAGGCGACACGCTTCCGTCTACGGTGGGATGTGCAATACCGTAGATTTTCACGTAGAGCCTTAAAAAGGCTCTTCCCCGCTTGGCCCTTCTGCAGGGCTCGGTCGGCAGACCGCCCGACCAGCATCGCAGCCGATGCTACTCCTGAGGAGGCAGCTCTATCGAAACCCCGAGTGGAGGCGCACCCCTAGCTCAGGTACTTTCGCCAGACGGGCTGGCACCGGTTTTTCATTTGAATGGAATACTAACCACCGTCCAGAGGGGAAAGTATACCCACTGGGCTCCTCTCAAGGAGTCTCACCACGTTCCACTACGAGTCCGACCTCAATTGCAAGCAGTTATGCATGGAAAGTGCTGCAATTGCCGTAGTTCAGTAATTCTCGCATAGTGCTGTCCGCGAAGTGTAACTGATCTCAAACCCCACTGTTAATTATGGCAAGGATCTTTTCAAGGGTTCGCCAAACTGTCTACTGATTTAGAATGCTTGCCGGGCACTCAAGGATAAGCCTGACCCTGGAGCTATGTTAGGATAGTGATGTCAGTATGGGAAGGGATATCAGCAGTTGTATTGAATATAGTACGCCTCTGTGAGGGCGACTCCTGTACAAAGGAGAGTGAGAGGATCTTCTACTTTTTTTTTTTTTTTTATTACCATCTGTATATGTTTATACATTTTGTAATTTTGTGACTTATATACACAGCACAGTTCATTTTGTCTTGAGGGGAGAGTGCAGCCATCGCTGCTCTCCCATTTTTCCGAGGGCTATTCCTTGGTGAGGAGGTCCCGGGGCCATCTCCGCTTTAGTCTTCTGACCGGGTTGTAGGGATGGATTTTGTTGGACATGGAATGAGCTAANGGTTTCGTATTACAACTCTCAGTGATCGCTCTTCTTTTAGCTGGTACGTGTAAAAACTTGCCTTTGTTTCTGTGAGGTATTTTATTATTCCTCTATACGAGTCTGCAGATGTCGGCATTATTTTTGTGTTTTCTCTTCTGTTAATGCAGATGTAAGCTTCTTTCCCTAGTCGTTCGTCGAGTTGTTTGCACATAAGTGGAAAGTTGTTCAGTTGTTTTATAAAAATCGGTGGAGGTTTCGGTACTCGATCTTCTACTCTAAAGTACCTGCCAGGCAGGTAGGACTTAAAGATGATGATGAAGTATGTAGAGGGTAGAATGCCTTTGAGTTTTGACAACTGTCAGACTCGATCGAAAGCCAGTTCGACATCTAGGAAGACCTGAGCAGTAGTCCTTCTTCTCAATGCAACGATGTCCGCAATGGCACTGTTAAACAGTAGAACGGTGACGCCTAAATCTAAATTGACAGTCGGAGATTATATTAGAGGATTCAAAGATAGTATTTGCCAAGGAAAAATATGAAAGAATTTTTCAAGGAATTTACTAAAAGTGGTAAGCAGTTGGGTCGATAGGAATTCGGAAGGTGATGTGTTTGTTGGATTTAGGGATCAAATTGAGTGTCCGTATATCAATCGTTTATTTTGATAAAATTGATATCAATCTTTAAAACGAAAAGTTGTTTAAACATGAGAAATAAATTGACAGTTTTGACATCTATGTTCAATCGTGTATGGCCTATTCCAAGTGCCTTGACTTTCATAAGCAAGAGATCTGTACTGTCCGCTTTCGCTGAAAGTTTTATTTAATCATGCTACGGTGTAGTAACACGTTTAAAACAATTATGCACTTATTTACATATCTTAATTATTATTTAACTGCAATTCGGATACGCTTTTCCTCTCGATTTTTCAAATGGTATTGTCGTCGGTGTGAGGAATGCCGCGTAAAATCATTGATAATAGGATTCTTGGGGAGTCGAAAAGGCCTATAGAAATGTGTGGGCGTTGTTGACATTGTCGAATCTGTGTCGGTGGAGCCGGTGACAATGGTGCGGCACCAAAGCACCGTGACATCCCCCCTTTCACATGGCGCATACCTCGCGCGTTTCTTTCTGTTGTCATCACGACCCGATTCTCCGTGAATCTCAACCCCAACCTGAGGAAACGGAAAAAAATCCGCGGCCTTTTTTCCCCTCTCCTTCCGAGGATCTCTAAAGGATTTGAAGATTTGACCCGTTAACTCAATTTTCTAGGAAAAGATGGTGCAATTACCGCCTCAGGGGTGACGGAAATCTTCACCCTAATGTTTTTGTCCTTACCTTAATTCCGTCTGAATTCAGAATCCGGCGAGTCCGTCCACTACTATTTTTTTATGTTACGTTGACGATTATGGTTTGTTATTTGTACAGGTGTGTTAGTTCTTGATGAATAGTATCGTCGATAAGCATAATTTTCTAACCAGTTGATATTATAGATCTTATTTCCAAATAAATATTTCTTTCTTGAAGTAACCCATGTTTAATATGTTGATATATCAAAACGCTAAGTTATTTATAAAAAATATTATATAGAATAGAATAGAAATGCATTTTATTTATTTTTCTCATAATAACAACATACAGTGGCGTCGGTGTCCGCAACGGTTTAGGCATTGACACCGCGCTCATTACTGTAAGGTAAAGGTCCCGGGTTCGAATCCATCGGCCCTGCATTCGAACCCGACATACTTACAAATTTTTTTTTTTTTTTTTTCAAAAACACCTGCACCCAGGGTTGATAATGATGTATGAATTAAATGGGTGCACTATAGAATTTGGTACACTCAGTATACACCTAGACAATAAAACAATAACATGGTTAAATGTACAGTAAGCAGTGACGGATGCCGTTATTACATCCATATGATGAATGAGGTGGACTCCTTGGAGACCGATGTCAAGTAGTGAGATTGTCGAGGGGTCAGCTACGCTTCAGTCTCATCTTGTAATCTCTGAGGTGTTTGGAGATAGCTAGGATTTTCTATTCATGTACCTGCTAGGAAAAAGAGTTTATTTTACAATTGAGATTTTGTAACAAATTGTAACCCACCTAAAACGACACTATCAACTATTAAATCCATTATGTTTAGTGATCTATTGACCAAATCAGTTCTTTCAATTAATGTATTGTTTAAGATATGCTTATATGCATATAAGGTATGCCTATACTATAGGCTTATGTTTTTTATACTTATACTTTTTATGTAAGGTTTAGGTTGAAATGAAAAGTTAGTGTCACGAGCAGGATTCGAACCCACGTCCTTCGGCTGAGAGGGAAATTCGAAAGGTTGAGGTTGAGATGGGGAGTTGGTGTCCGAGTGGATCGAAGCCACGATAGCTCAATTTACTTACTTACTTACATACTTAATATATTTATACTTATGCTTATTTAATTACTACTTATATATACTTATACTTATTTACTTATTACTTATTTATACTTATACTATACTTGTACTTACTTACTAACTTAACTTCTCAACAAACGACCAAAGAACCAAGAGTACATGTGTAGTTTTTGTAACCAAAATACTTACTTTCTATATTAATACTTATGCTTACTTACTATTTATATATACTTATACAAACTTATACTTATTTACTTATTACTTATATTTACTTATACTTACTTATTATCTTAAGTTCTCAACAAACGACCAAAGAACCACTGTTGTACATTTGTAGTTTTTTTTCAACCAAAATACTTATTTACTATATTTATACTCATGCTTACTTACTTACTATTTATATATACTTATACTATACTTAAACTTATTTACTTATTACTTTTATATACTTATACTTACTAACTTAACTTCTCAACAAACGACCAAAGAACCAAGAGTACATTTGTAGTTTTTTTCAACCAAAATACTTATTTACTACATTTATACTCATGCTTACTTACTTACTATTTATATATACTTATACTATGCTTATACTTATTTACTTATTACTTATATATACTTACACTTACTAACTTAACTTCTCAACAAATGTCCAAAGAACCAAAAGTACATGTGTAGTTTTTGTTTTGTGTAGGTTTGTAACCGAAATACTTACTTAATTACTATATTTATACCTATGCTTACTTACTTACTACTTATTTATACTTAAACTTATTTACTTATTACTTATATATACTTATACTGTACTTATATTTACAAACAATTAATTAAGGTTTTTAGTTGAGATAAAAAAGTATCCGAGTGGATCGAGGTCACGATAGATCAAGTGGTAGAGCAGCGGCGTATCTAGCCGAAGATCGTGGGTTCGAATCCCGCACGTGCCATTGATTTTTTTATCTCAACTAAAAACCTTAATTAATTGTAATATATTAATTGGTCAAGCGGACCACGAAATCAGTGAAATTACTTACAAACGACCAATGAACCAAGAGTACATGAATAGTTTTTTAACCAAAATGTTGTAAGCTTACTAACTTCTTATATATACTTGTACATATTTACGTACTACTTATATATACTTATACTATATTTATACTTACTTACGAACTTAACTTTTCAACAAACGACCAATGAACCAGGAGTACATGTGTAGTTTTTGTAACCAAAATACTTACTTTCTATATTAATACTTATGCTTACTTACTATTTATATATACTTATACTTATTTACTTATTACTTATATATACTTATATTTGTATTGTATATGTGTATATATGTGTAATTTCTTTAACCAAAATGTTGTATTTTCTTTCCTATTTTTAGTTTAATATGACTATTATTTTTTCATTACACATAGCTCTAATGATTGCTGTGATATCTACAGTCCCCCTTTTTGTTAAACCTAATACCGGTACTCAAATCAAAGGTTAGAGGCAACGAAAAGTCTCGCTTGATTACCGACCCCCGCGCATCACCTTGTAACTGGCCGGGAAAAAAGTCCCACGGCAAAAATTGCAATTTTAAATAAAACAAGCAGCAATTAGTTTAGTTAATTAACGATTGTTACCGGTGCCTACGCTCACAGTAGTTTAGTCACAAAGCGGACGCTGCGATTTCCCATGGCCTCGAACGAGGAAGTAGAACAAAATCGGAAAATTTAACTTGACGCAGATGTTATTTTGCTCAATTTTCAAAATGTTATACATATTTTTATGTATAACATAAAAAATGTACAAAAATGCACTGAACCATAAAAAAAAGAAATACAACAATAACAGTTAAATGTAAATAAAAGAACGTAGCAAAGTATGATTATGTGCCACAGCTGTTCTATTTTTGTAATTTGGTATATCTTTGCTTTTTTGGTGATCATGATAATCGGAAACCCTCCAACCTATTTTATTTGATTTTTATGTTGTAATTTCCTTCCTTATTTGGCTTTTTATTAGGTTAAATTTGGGTTTTACAAATTTTGTATTGTTCTTTTGTCTGTGGTTTGGGTAGATTATGACAATTTTTCGGCTTTGGTTGTTTCCAAATGATTATTGCTTCTTTTTTAAGTGTTTTTTATATTTTTTATTTGCAATTTCCTTCCTTATTCTGCATTTTAACTTAGTGAGGGTATCACACAACTCTTTTTTGTCATAGTGAGAATGTGCGCGGGCGCGCGTGCCTGTAGGTCTTCTTTTAATTGTGGCATTAACAGTTCTTTTCTAATCCTTCTAAGCATGCTATTAATTTAACTAGGATGTTTAATTTTTATTTTACTAAGTTCATTAGATGACAAACCTTCCTGACAGATCTTTTTCTTGGTTTTCTTTGTACACTATTGAGCGTTTGCTTTGCATACGAAGTTGATATGGGTGCCTGTTTCTTCCTCCTCGTTGCATAAGCTCCAAATGATGTCATCATTGACTATGTCCTTGTTGTGTGTTTTCTCAGATGCCATTGATCGGTAAATAATCCTATCATTGCTCAGAGTTTGGCCCTCTCTAACTGTCGCTGTTTGACTTTGCCATTCTTGGTGGTGGTTGTTTTATCATTAGTTCGCTGTCTAGAGCATCAAGAGTTTATCCACTTCTACTTGTTTTTTGGATCCATTCTGTGATGGAGGATTCTGTGTTTGTTCGTTTTTTATTCCAAGAATAGGTTCAGAGCCTATAGCCTTGCAGATCCTTCTCTGGTCAATGTGTCTACTTTTTCATTACCCAAAATTATTTGTGTCCTGGTATTCGAAATATTAGGTTGTTATTTTCCCCCTAGATTTTGGAGATATTGAGTGCATTCACTGCACAACTTCAGTATGATTTTTTTAAGTACTACTGGTTTAATACCTGCTTGGCTATCCGATCTTATGAGGATTTTTGCCAGTGTAACCTCTTTTAAGATTGTCCAAGGCATAAGCATTTCAACTTGAAAGATTAAGATGTACTTCCCTATTAAGTTTGACTGCACATGTTTGGGCTTGTAAAAAAAAAACGCACGATCCGGTTCCTTCATTTATTTTTGGGCCTTCTGTTGTGTGCCTGAAGAGTTGGTGTCTCAACTAGTGATTTTGTCTGAAGCTTTTCTTAGCTTCAATGTACAAATGTTTACAATGAAGGTTGGCTTAGCAGTGTTTATAGTGCAATCGAAGGGGTTATTTTAATTGCTCCAGTGAAATAATTAGCTAATTTTTGTATGGGGCCTAATGTTTGAGTAGTTTATTTTTGCTGAACTTAGATCCACCGAATTAGTTAGTCATAGGATAATTTTGGTATTTCTGCCGTATATAGCTAGTGTTTTCGGTTTTAGTCCGCAGGATTTGCTTAGAGTTCTTTTTGTGGTCATTGGTGATATTTTTCTTTTTGTTGTGATTACTGCAAAGGAGGTTTTAAGGTTAATTTCTTATCAAAGATTATTCTTACGTATATAACCTCATAAGGTTTGTAACTGCAGCATTTCATTATATAACCATACTCCTTGTATTTTACGTTTCTTTTCTTGGTAAATGCGTTTAGTCAAGTTTTTGATGGGGTTTGCTTTAAGTCTCCATTGTCAACACCGTTAATCTACCATGTTTAGAGCTCTTTGGGTGAGCTTTTTAAAGCTTAGGCGAATTTTCCCTGAATAGTTTTGTATAACAATCTTTGGTATAGATTCATTTAGTTTGTTTATGAGTTGTTCACTACACCTTTCCACAGCAAGGAGCGGACAATCTCTCGCCACCAGCCATCTGCAGCACGTTTTGTCAGTTCCTCCGTCGGTATCCCCGTGTTGTCACCAGTGGTTCATCAAATACTTCTTCGCAGATCAAGAAGGTTGGTGTGGTAATAAGGATACTACGAAGCGGGGTTTTTGTTTCCCAGCCACTGCAGCCCTCTGGCTTGTGTACCTTCCTAGTTCAGTGCTTTGCTACAATTTCATTCCCTATGTTTTTTCTTGTGTTAGGTTAAAGCTGTTGCTTCACATTCGAAGATGATATGGGTGGCTGTTCCCACCTCCTCATTGCATAATCTGCAGATGGGATCATCGTTGTATATGCCCATGTTGTGTAGATATTTTCCCAGATGCCAGTGACCGGTTAGTGGTCCTATCACTCCTCTGAGTTTTGCCCAGTTGCAGGAGTGATATTGCCAGTCGTGGTGGGGCTGTTCCATCATAAATTTACTATGTCTAGCACCGCTAGAGTTTATTCACTCCTCCTTTTGTTTTATTTGGATCCATTCTGCGATGGAGGATTCTATATTTGTTTTTGTTATCCCAAGTATAGATTTGGGGGCCTATGTATGGCCTTGCAGAACCTCCTCTGGCCAGTCTGTCTGCTTTCTCGTTACCCAAAATTCCTCTATGCCCTGGCACCCAAGATATCAAGTTGTTGTGTTTCCCCGGGTTTTGGAGATTTTGGATGCATTCACTGACTAATTTTGATAACCGAAGAAGGTTAAGTAGGAAAGATACTTCCACGATTGGCAAATTTTAATTTTGTGCCTTTAAGTAAATCAAGCAACATCGTATATTTATGTCCAAATCTATTTGAAAATTAAAAATTGTTTTGCCCTTTTGGAATGTGTTACGATCACGGAGAGGTTAAGCGATTATTTAACTGATTAACAACATAACTTTTAATTTTTAGTTAATGTTTAAAATAAGTTAATCTTTTTATGTAAGGTTTTTGGTTGAAATGAAAAAGTTAGTGCCATGAGCGGGATTCGAACCCTGTTCTACCACTCAAGCGCAGCGGCGTATTTAGCCGAAAGTCGTGGGTTCGAATCCCGCTCATGGCACTAACTTTTTCATTTCGACCAAACACCTTGCATAAAAAAGATTAATTAATTGAAAGAAGCTATTTGATCAATAGACCGCTAAATATAATGGATTTAAAATAAGGTGATGTTAAATTTAATAAAGATTGCATTCTAAACAGCCTTTTGGCTGTAATAAATAAAATAATAAAAATTGTAGCTGCCGTAGCTTAACTGCCGAAACGTACTCTCTGTACTAACCAAGGAGAGTCCTAAACAGGGTGAAAAATATTAATAAAAATTAAGCAAAACTGTACAAAAGATGAAAATAGTAATTAGGCAATGAATATGGTGTGGTCTTGTTTCCAGAGAAATCACGAGCATAAGTAATGTGAATGTTTCTAGTCTTGATAGTTCATCAACCTGTGGACAGATGCTGTTGAACTTTTCGTTGTCATTTACACATACATAAAAAAACCACCCCTAGGACTTCATCCCTGTGTTTATCTAGCCTCGATATATCCCAAAATAGTTGGATGAGGAGAAGAATTTATTTTTTTTAAACTGCAAAAGAGGTAATCGCACGCTTTATTTATACCAATTTTGTACGGTAAATTGATGGTTCACTTCATCCATATCTGTCCAAAGTCATTCTGTTCTAAGGAGAGAAACAATCAAGTAAATCAGTCGTTCACCGAGTGTATTGTAGTTTTTCGTTTTGTACGAATTAAGCCTTCAAACAGAAAGGGATCGGTCGACTCGGCAGCAACCGCAGCGGGTTTTGGTGACTTGCGGTTTCTCGACAGCCGGCCGAAGTGGGAGCGACTCATTCTCATCCGTTCATTCGTTGCCCAAGCCCTTATGAAAAAGTTATCCCGAATCATGCTTTGGGTCACGAATGGGCTGTTTTTCACCGGACACGATGCCTATATTTCTGATAAATCGGTGTAGGCGTTGCCAAGGGCAGCCTCGACAGAACAAACATAATTGAAACTGGTTTCGCTTATATCTCCAGTCTATTATCCTTGAGATTTTTATCGAGCCTATTCTCGTCATCTCTCTCGGCATAAAGGGTTTTCTTTGAACTGCCTTTTATTCGTGTCGGAGGTGTCCTAAAGTTTTTTTATATTATTATTCCCGCAGACTTCACGCACCGTGTCATCCGAAAAAGGTACATCCTTATTCCATGTCTTCCTGAGAAAGTACCGTCGTAACTCGAGGGTCGCACAGTTACGTTTTACGACTTAGCATCCTTCTATTATTTCCTTCTTGCGCTTCTCATCGCAATAAACCCAAATGCACGGCGTATTTCTTGTTAATTATTTGAAATTCAGGGCGAATTATCTATTATTAGAAATTGGCTAGTATGCGAGAAAGGGCGGACCCAGATTCTCCAGGGTCAATCCAGGAAACGCGACAGGCGAAGAAAAACTTTCCAGATCCTTGTTTCTAATTAATCCTCGTAGGTGTCTTTTGTTGCGCGACCCTCGTGATATGTGGACCGAGGTCCGAACCCGCCCCGGGGGCTGTACTCCATTATCTTGGTCCAGAACTCGTTGCACAACAAACTCGTTTATCATCCGTGAAACACCGACAAAACTGTTCCCGAGGTGGGCTGCCCTCTTTTGATCGACGCCGCCGCCCGCCTCCCCAGCGAGAACCTATTTTGAATGGACCGTTCGGCAGAGCAATTTTTACGATTTATGAAAAACACCGTTTTCCATTTTCGTGTAATATAATAACTGTTTCCTTTATAACTCTCTCACTTCTGGAACCCGACACGATTCACATCAATTTGTATATATACTGAAATTGGTGGAGAAACAACGGAGATTAGACTTGGTGGATTTTCACAGTCAGATTAGGTTATTGACCAGTGTGATAATGTTTTTACATACATTTATTTGTAGCCTATACAGATTTGTGTATATTACAACTGTGATCATATACGTTTTACTTATCACGGTCACAGCACTAGCACCCGGAGGGCACATGCCATGAGAAGGTTTCGAGGCCATCGTTGATTAAGGACGT